CATTAGGCTTGGTGGCAAGTGCCTTTACCTGTTGACCATCTTACCGGCCCACATTAATGGGTTTTAAAAGGTCGCTAAAAATATGTGGATTTCTACTATACATAGAAAGTAGACATTTGGGCTGGAGAGATGACTCAGCAGTTAAGAGCACTGGATACTCTTACAGAGGACCTGGGTTCAAATCCCAGCACCTACATGGTGGCTGTTGAATAGGCTTGTCCTCCTAATGACCAGCAACAGATAGATGTCTTCTCTAGCTTGTCCCCCACATATTTCAAACTGGTTGGACCCCAAGAATCTCTGTTGGAAGGGAGGGGCAGGAGACAGTCACCCCACCCCTCCCACCCAATCAGTAAGCCTTAACTGTATGAGGAGGAGGGACTAAGGATAGACACAGGGGAAGCCAGAGAGGGGGAGGGTGCTTTGCTATCTTGGGCAAAAAAAAAAAAAGGACAGCCCGAGGGTGCTCATTCTTTGTAAGTAACCCCTCACTGCCATAATATGCTCTGTTAGTAATCCCAAACTGTAGTTTGGAGGAATATTTTCTTGGTTGGTTGTAAGGACGGCGGGAAGAGGGGGACGCAGTGGGCCTGGAAGCCAAGTGTGCCTCCCAGCAGTAAATTCAATTTACATGGCTGACAACATCTGTAACTACAGTTCCAGGGAATCCGACAACCTCTTCTGACCTCTGTGGGCATTACACAACACAGGTATGCTCACATACATGCAGGCAATACACTCATACACATAAAATAATAATAAATAAAATATTTTAAAAAAGAATGGAGACATTAATTTATAAGTGGCTTTCTTGATTTGTGATGAATGCGTAACATGGGAAGGAAGGACATAACATTTGATCCAAGTAGAAATGCTACCTAGGATGACAGAGTGACTGCTAGGAGCATCTTTGAAGATGATGTTCTTCAGGAGCCTGACCTTTACACAATACACAGGAGGAAGGAAAGGTGGGCAGAGTTACTGCTGCTGCCATCAGATCATTCTGAGGAGCTATGATGTGCAAGCAAAACAGGAGCCAGGGACAGACTGTTCTGTCACAAAAGGTCATTCCGCCAGAAGTAGTTTATGATGAGTGCCGCCAGCACTTGACTACACTCCCTATTTCACAAAGGATTTCTAAGTAGTTTTGATAGTTTCTAAGAATCTCTATAGTAGCACTTCACCAGTATCAGTTACAGATCTTTCTGAACACCCAATGTTTAAGTAATTGTATCATTTGAAGAGCTATTGAAGATGGACTTACAAACATAAGATGGTTTGGACAAGAAGATATTTCTAGCCAGGCATGGTGGTGCACACCTTTAGTCTGAGCATTCAGGAGGCAGAGGCAGACTGATCTCTATAAGATTAAGGCCAGCCTGGTCTACATAATGAGTTCTAGGCCAGCTGGGGCTATACGGAGACCCTGTCTCAAAAAAACCCCAAAACAACCCCCCCAAAATATTCAGATAATTAAGAAACTCAGGTTTAATTCTGGAAAAGAAATTGGGATTGTCAGCCCTGGCACTGGGTAGAGGTCCCACCGAGAAGGACATTGGCCATCAGAAAGGTACAGGTAAGCAATGGTGTATCATAGTTGGGAAAGAGAGTCCTGAAAAGATGTAAGAAGAACAAGGAAGCATGTCAGGGCACGGGTGAGGCAGGCCACCCTTCCTTGTCATGAGTTAAAACCTGATCATCAAGGGGCCAGAGAGATGGCTCAGCCATTAAATGCACTTACTGCTCTTGCAGAGGACTTTAGTTGGTTTCTCAGCACCCACATGGAGGCTACCAAACAGTCATAGCACCAGTTCCAGGGGATCTGACACCCTCTTCCAGTCTCCATGGGCATTGCATACACTTGGTGCATTTACATACATGCAGGCAAAGCACTTAAACACATAAAATAAAAATAAATAAAAACCACTTGACCATCAAATGAAATGAAAAATGTTTATCTCCTCATCACAGACTGATACACAAAGATTTCTGAAATTCGATGTATTTGAAAAAAAAAAAAAAACACTTAAAAAAAATTTCCAAGGGGCTGGAGAGATGGCTCAGGGGTTAAGAGCACTGACTGCTCTTGCAAAGGGCCCAGGTTCAAATCCCAGCACCGAC